AAGGTACGACATGAGAAAATCCTGGCGCCACTTGAGTTCTTGTTGGAGGTGGAGTTTTTTTCCTGGTCGAGTAACGTATAGGTCAAACTAGCCAAGACACATTTTGGATCCCACGCTAAGCGTCGTCGGAGAGGCGTCTTTATGGTAATTCATTTGCTTTGCTGTCACTTGGAACACAATTGTATTAATGAATACACGAATCTCTTCAAGGATCTTGACAGACTGGCTTTTAATCTTCAGCTGTTATTGGAATTGCTGTAGTACAGACACAGCTCTAAGACCTCTTGAACTACTCATTCATCATTTAGCGAAGCTGATGGGCCAGACACGATCGTGTGTTGTTTACTTGATCGACCTGTTGCCGGACGGTCGTAGCTGGAATGTGTAGAACCCTGCGTTTCTTAGCTGGAAACAAAATAATTACACCATTGAAGCAAATTGTGATCATTTATTTCAGAGCACATTGAAGAGTAAACTCATGCCTGAGCAAGTGGCAGGCAAAAGGAAATTAATATAGTATTAATATGATATAGTTCCTTGTATTAGGATGTAAAACACCTATGCTAAACCACAAAATGGGTAAATGTATCGAACAAAGAAACCGAGTTTTATAAGCAAAACGTAATGCAATTTAGGCTGTTGAATCTATTACATGGATTTATCAATATTTGTTTATTTTTGAAAATTTAGCTTCCGTTTTAGTATTAGTAGTAATTATATATGTTGACGTATTTTTCTGTAGTGTTTTACTTCTCCATTCCGATTTAGTGAACATGCAGCGACAAATTGGTGTAGTTGTGATTTCCAATTCTCTTTTGAATGCAGAATACGAATATCATAAAATTAGAGTTGGGTGATAAGTTTACAATTGTATTGTCGAAACAAGCAAGTACAAAATTACTTGGAAAAATATTTAATTGTAGGTTTGATTTAATTCTAACATTATTCGAAATATTTTTCACGTGATGTTATTTTTCAACTAATGTTCTTAATAAATTTATTAATTTGAACGGAATTCGTGAACTTTACAATGAATGTTATTTTTAAGTCAATAATGTCAAACACGTTGCCCACAAATAATATAGTGTTTCTATACCAAACAATGAATAAGAAGAAAAAAGATCCGGGTCACCTGCTGGGACAGCTGGTTTTCAGGCGCCAAGCTATTCTTTAGAGCAACAGGAGGTGTTACATTCCTTGTTAGGAACATTAAAAGAAACATGATCTAATCATACGGACAACCTTCAGGTGTCCTTGTAAAAAGGGGAATTACACTGCTTTATTGAAAAGAACTTTGCTTTGCCGTCCAGATTTGGATTGACCCTTAACATTTTATAACAACTAGCGATGAGAAAAATAAACAGCAGTTTACTGAATAGCAAGCTTTAGGTGGTCGACTGAAAGTGACAGGAACAGCACTACAAAACAACCTAGAAGTCTACAAAAATTTTTCTCTTCTTCCCACAGTTTTATTGCTATATCTTATGTTTCACATTGGTAAAACGGTTCAAACGTGAAAATATGCTATTAATAAGTACTTTTGTTTCTAAAATAAGGTATATTATTGATTATCATCAATCAGATTAAGAAACTTTTCTATTAATAGTTAACTTATTTGTCTTAATGAAGTTGTGTAATAAGACCGGAATGGGAGTTTTTGTTATAGATCAATGATACTCTGTTAATCAAGACTCGAGAATTTGCTCTGAATCTGCTCCAATTCAAGATAATCCTACCTTTAAGCTTGTGAGTGTGATGAAGACTTTGATTCAATTTGTGTTTTAGAACAGTAGATGTTGCGTATTTTCTAATGCAGAAAAATTTCCATTTAAACAATATAAACATGATTACTTCTTCGTAACTACTGTGCAAAGCATGTCAGTGGAGATACTTTTTTTTTCAGTTTCAAAAATACAAAGGCCATGTAAACGAAATTAGCCAAATAAATTTTGAAGTTTTTACATTATAGTACTCTATTGTCATCAAAACGACTTCAGAAGTGATGAAACACAATGATATTTTTAGGGAATGCCTGAGAAGTGGACATTCCTAGTTGACAATAGTGAGAATCTTAAATGTGTGTTGAACGAACTTCAATGAATTGAGACTGGATAAACACGATCAGTTGGTCGTATTCGCAATAACATAAAAACATCTAAAATGAACATTTCGAGATGGTAAAGAATTAGTATAAGGACGCACTTCCATAAAAACATGTCAATTTCCTTTATCATGAAATGGAGCAAAGTATGTAAGTATAATTTAGTTTTTAACTTTCTCCCTTCTTGTAGGTTTGCTAGATGTGCGAAAATAGTATTTCATTAACTTTTCTAAACCTTACGATGCTTTAAATGACGCAAATAACTTTACAAGAACAGTTCTGATGGTTTTATACTGAAGTATTTTATACCTAGTAACCAATACTTTTTAAGTTAACATTAAATGCAGACATTGCAGGTATTTCTTCGGGATTATCAAACGTGTTAGTCAAGCTTTTTTGCAAATAGACACATTTTAGATACTCTCACTTTAACAGCTGTGTGAATAATTGTATATATGCTAGCCCCAATGTAGCCCCACGAAATATCCAGTTAGTGAAAATAAGTGGAGCTAAGCGTATGCAAAATTCTTTTTGGATTGTTGTGTTCTTTACGTTATATACCAAATTATGTAGGCTTAACTAATATCATAACATAGGGATAGGGCTTAGAAAAACCAGTTTTAACAACGTGATTTGTTTGTTTGTTTGTTTTTGAATTTCGAACAAAGCTACACGAAGGCTATCTGCGCTAGCCGTCCCTAATTTAGCAGTGTAAGACTAGAGAGAAGGCAGCTAGGCATCACCACCCACTGCCAACTCTTGGGCTACTCTTTGACCAACGACTAGTGGGATTGACCGTCACATTATAACGCCCCCAAGGCGGAAAGGGCGAGCATGTTTTGTGGGACGGGAATTCGAACCCGCGACCCTCAAACTGTGAGTCGAGTGTCCTAGCCACCTGGCCACGCCGGACCAACAACGTGATATATGTAACTATATGATAGAATTTACTAACATCAGATATCACATTTAAGGCTCAAAATGCTGGCAAGTTAAGATTATTATCAAACTCTGAAAGCAACGTTCTGGACTGTTGATCAAACAATCTCATTGAAATTGCGCGTGCTTATCCCATACTTCACGAAAGTAATTTTAATGATAAAAACTTTACAATACGAAATGTTGAAACAAATTAGACATTAGTGGTTCAACAGAAAATAATCCCATAAACAATGATCATGTTCTATGGCAAAGTTGTTTAAATAATTCTACACTCATTATAACAAGTTAGAGAAGAGAACTGTATGCAGTATTGTAAAATATGTAATCTTTTTTACTGTTAACCAAAGTAACGGTCTCCTCATGAACCAAAAATCCCCAACAGCTTTATTGTTTTACTGGTTTTTAGGCAATAAAGACAACATCACACAAATTGAAAAGTCTAAACATACGGGAGTAAAATAATTGTTTCCATTTTCTCAGGAGCTGATACCTGAGGGTTCCAAACAGAAAAAAGAAATCAACGTTTATCTAACATGAAGCAGATAGGGCTAATACAAAAAAAATACATATAAGTATAGCTGTGACACGGGGTTCTCTTTTAATGTGCCTTCCCCTGATTGCTTAGCAGTAAGTTTGAGGGTTTATAACGTTAAAAAGTGGGTTAAGATGCCCGCAATGGGTAAAGCAAAGATAGCCTATTATATAGCTTTGTGCTTAACAAGAAACAAACATTAAAGTGCTTTATAGCTGCTTCCCCCTTCATTGAAATAGTGGTAATTCGCAAGAATTCTAACGCTAAAAATCGAGTTTCAATACCAGTGTTGGACACAGCATAGATAGCCCATTCTGTAGCTATGTGTTTTATAACAAATAAACAAAGCTTTTTTAGTTGAAAGGCACTTGATAAATTTGTAATTTCACAACACTAATGACTTTATAACACAAACTATCAGGGTAATTGAACATCCATACAAAAGTTTGATACGTTCTATTAAAGTAGTATACATATGCAGATCTGCAAGTCACGTGACAACCACAGTCGATATAAAGCCGCGATGGAATAACATGTATCAGCACTACATTTTGACATTACTTAGATAGTCTGATGCCATTAAAAATTGTCTCTCTTTGAAATAGCATGTAACCGTCGTTTCTGACGCCAAATATTCATACACTCGGATCATAAAGATGTGTTCACGTTGGAGATCTAGAATTTCCAAGACGGGGATATCACTTGTATTTAATGGCATTAGAAAATATAGGAAAATGAGTCAACTTGGGGAATGAGAACCATCCAGAAAGAGATCTATATCAAATCTTACTCCAGCTGTGGTAAGCAAAATGCAAGTCTTTTAACAACTGAGAATTAATGACTACAAAGTTTAGTGGCAAAAGCTGTCCGTAAGTCTCAGGAAACACAATAAAGAAGGATCTTCCGTCTAGAAATACGACACAAGTTGATTCATCCGTTCAACTGTCACATAGCTCAAGCAACTGGAGAATGTAATATATATTTATGGTATTCCATATAAAAACTTACCGATAAAGTCATCGGACACAGCGTCTATGAATTTCTGTTCGATCCGACAGTTGAGAAGGGCGCTAGGAAACCGTCATCAGTCGTCATAATACACTAGATGAATTACGAAAAGCCAACAGAGAGGACTGGTATATTTTGGAAATTTTTGCAATGGAAACTACGTTGTAGGGATAGTATCAAAATGCATGGTCGTCAGGTATAGTATGGCCAGTGTTGAAGCTGCGAAATCGTTTTAGTATAACATATTCAATCTCAGTATAACACTTAACAGTAAATTATTTGTATTAAAAGGCCAATAATGCTGTTTTCATAGCTTTATTTTAGCTACAAATGAAAATATCTGACAGTCAATTATACATAGAGGTAATGTATATATATATATATATATGTTTATATTAACATTTTTTTCTTCCCAAGAGATGAAAAGAACCAAGAAAAGTGTCTTATGTCTCTTCAGGAAGAAGAACCACTCTGTGCACCTGTACAATTCAACACCCACGTGTTTACAACACGCACTGGTGCAGTGAAATCAGTGCTCTCTATAGAAGACTGTGCATGTCAGTGATGCAGAAGAGTCTCTTGAGAGTCATGGACAAAAGAACGTCTTATGATCAGTAAAAACCTGTTCGCGTAACAGCAGAAATTATGCTGGAAAACATAAGATATACTCTCTGCAAAGTCTGGAATACTAGTATCCTTTTCGAAAAGATTCCTATGTTTATGTAGTATGGTTTTGTTAAGGCATCAATTAAACGCTTTCTTCTATAACAGTTTCTCTGCAGCAAGAATCGTAATACTTGAAGACTAAGTTTCATAATCTGCGTACACATATAGAAATTGCTGACAGATTTTGAAAGTTTGATTGCTACTTATCTTAGTCTCTAAGAAACGACTAAGTTTCATAATCTGCGTACACATATAGAAATTGCTGACAGATTTTAAAAGTTTGATTGCTACTTATCTTAGTCTCTAAGAACGACTAAGTTTCATAATCTGCGTACACATATAGAAATTGCTGACAGATTTTAAAAGTTTGATTGCTACTTATCTTAGTCTCTAAGAACGACTAAGTTTCATAATCTGCGTACACATATAGAAATTGCTGACAGATTTTAAAAGTTTGATTGCTACTCACCTTGATCTATAAGAACAGAGAATATATATGATATATTTTTATACGAATTACTTGCAGGTAATCTACATTTGTTCATTTGAAAGCCTGGCAAATTAATATCATAAACGTTATTGTGTTCGTCATAGAAATAAAATACACGTTGCTTCTTTCTAGTTTATGAAACGTTTATTTCATACAGTAGTCACAGATATGACGATCTTTCACTAAAAAAATTGTCAGGAGTTTTTATTTTAGTCTATTAAATTTAATGAAACAATATCTTAATATTCCAATGTAAAATTATTTGCAAGATTTTGCATGAAAGTGAAAGCATACTTGTTTAAACTTGCATATGAAATACTACATTATGTATCGTTTTGCATTATAATTTGTGTGGATTGTTTTATTTGCTATGTATACTAAATTTTAAATGCTTCATTTATATTGGTTATGTCACGGATCATAGAAAGTATTTAGAAATAATCTCGGCTCAAATAAACGCTAAACAAATCTAAAAAGAAGGTATAACTCTGTTTCTCCCGTTAAAAAACATCTAAAACAACCATCAGTTTTGATCATGCATAACGCTATATAAAATATGTTAAATTTTTTATTTGTTTCAAATATTGGTTATTCAGTCAAAATCTTGTAAATATGTTGTATTGCTTTAAGTATTTTCATAGTTCTTTCTACATTTTATTATCTATCTTAAAACCAACTGTGCCTCCATACTGCAGATATCTTTCCAATACACCATATGCATTTGTAAGGTATTAAGCCATTAATGATAAGCAAGTTAAAAATGGAAGCTTTAATGAAATTATGTGAAACGTTTTATTTTGTAATTCAAGTGTTGAAATTTTTACCAAGCGCATCTGTAGTAGTGTAATTTTTGTAGCTATTATGTTCCAAATAAACTTTAATATACTTTTATCTGGTTTTATTTTTCTCATCAATAAAATACATGCAAATTAAGCAGTATTAAGCAACGATTCCCTACAGCAAGTATAGATTTATCCTCAACAAAAACAAACAAACTTGCATTATCATATTTTATAGCTATCTTAAAAGGGATAGATATTTTCCATTATTAGAACAGCTGGTATGATTTTAACTCAAGTCTTTTAAAACTAAAATATTCTATAACGTCAGTATTCTGTCATTCTTGGCAATTTTGAACATTTATTGAGAAAATTACTATTTCGGATTAAAATACTTGTACAAAATCCATAAAAATATAACCAATTAAAACATTTGTGTGTAAGTGAGTAGTTACTCTTTCTTAAAAAAACAAAAAGATAAACATTTATCTAACTTACTAGTTTTCAGTCGTAATCTGTGCAGGTCAACTGTCCTCCGTACTTTCTGTATATTTTTATATTTAGCTAACATTTAGGTCAGTGGAAAACAGTTCAACATTTCTTTGGATTTGTACAAGTAGCCTAGAATTAGAATACGTCAAAAATTGCATCCCTTTTAAATTAGCCGTACCATTAAAGTTTATATATATATATATTCCAACCAGTAAAATGATTAGATTGTTTGTAATACAGTGTTAATATAATTCTAAAGTATACTTACGGTCTTTTCTGTATTTGTTGAGTTCGTCGCAACCAGAGTTAAAGAAGCGTAATGCCACAATATTTAAAATTATGTAAGAATAGAATTTTAAGCATTTAGCAAACTAATCCCATAATGCACCTGCTGTAATTGTGTTCCATTCTGAAATGATATTTTCTATTTAATCATTTTGAATATATCAGTACCCTACATCTAGAATACTGAAATATTGAAATCATTTTCGTATACTTTCAAAACAAAAATTCTCACTCGTTAAATAATGTGTAACAATTATTTCTATGCATTTTTATACGGATTGATTCATACACAGTTAAAATACTTATGATGTCTTTAGACATAACATAAATCTATGTTTGAAACATATCTTACAACTTAAACGTGGGATATAAAAGTTTCAGTCTACCTTTTTACTCATCACTATATAGCTTACATTTAATACATTTAAAACATTCAAGGTATAGCCTACATTTGAAGCATTCAAGATAACCCAAGAACAAAGCCTATCTCATTTTAGAGTTATATCTAGTCACAAAATATAACTTTGTTTGTAATTAAGCATAAGTTTTTTTTTTTTCAGAATTAATATGCATTGCTGGTTTATTAATGTTTTATAATTTTACCAAAGTTTATAAACGAATTATTTTCTCATTTAGGATCGTTCTGATTGGGAATAAGAACATAATGATCATTTTAGAGGTAGTTTTACGTCATTTCAAATCATTTATTTCTGTTCATAGTATTAAAATAAGAGTATACATTTATCATACATAAACGTGCCAAATATTTTTAAAAAATCTGAAACTACTTGTATATTACTGAGCGGTGAAACGTTCCCTGAAGGGCTGGAGCTCCGGTTCATACTCTTGTGAAAACGTTTCAACCTTCTATGCTTTACTTTCAGTAAAAACGTCCAATTTCAATGTCACAACAGTGGGCAAGTTTATTTTAGTCCTAACATATATAGGGGAATACTTTTTCTCCTACTACTTGTTACGAATATCCTGCATACTTTAACTGCAAGAACTATCTCAAGCGGGAATACATGTCTAAGTTAGCAGTTTTCTGAACACTTTGAACGCAGGATATAACACAGAAAAAGATAATGTTAAGGTTAGAGCATTCTAAGCGGTAAGTTAAAACTTTCACAATGATCTTTGTTGAATATCGTTGAATTATTTATAGGTATACTGAACCGTTTGACTTTTATATAAGAATAAAAATATATTCTATGTTGAGGTCAAGCTATTTTGTGTATTTGTAGACACACGGAACCTATGGAGTTGTAGGCAAAACTACAGAAAAAGATATACTTTGGGCCCCCAATGGTATGTCTACAGACTTACAACGCTAGAAACCAGGTTTGGATACCCGTTGTGGGCAGAGCACAGATAGCCCATTGTGTAGCTTTGTGCTTAATTACAAACAAACAAAGACATATTTTGTGACTAGATATAACTCTAAGATGATATAAACTTTGCTCCTAGGGTTGTATTGAATAGTGAGTACTTAAAACAGCCGACGTTACAGACTGTTTCTTTGCATTACTTCAAATGTTACAGAGACAGATATTTGTAAAGGTAAACGTGCTACGTTATTCTAAGGCTTATTCTCCCCAGATATATTTATAAGTGAGAAATTATCCTCTTTAATATAACCTCCAGTGACACAGCGGTATGTCTGCGGATTTATACCGGTAGAAACCGGGTTTCGATGCCTGTGGTGGGCAGAGCACAGATAGCCCTTTGTGTAGCTTTGGGCTTAATAATAAACATCAACATCACTTTAATATATTAGTTTAACTTCATTTACTGATTAATTGAGTCTTTATGCTTACTAAGTATGTAAAGTTAAGTGTAAACATATATAATATATAGCATTAACGGAGTACTGCAGGTATTACACTCTCTACCGCGTGTTTTTAGTCACAATAAAACTTCCATGTGGCTTATGTCTTAATGCAACTTTAACTTTCTACTACCGTAAAAAATGTGGATTTATCTTAATTAAAATTGTGATAATATGTTGTCAATATGCACTATTATATTTAAAATGAAGAAAAAATAGTGACACAGCGGTAATTCTCAAGACTTATAACGCTACACCTGGGTTTCGATACGAGTGGTGGGCATAGCACATAGAGCTCATTATGGCTAACAACAAACAAACAAATAAGAATGTGAATTTACTCAACTAATCCGAAAAATGGAATACATCACAATGAAAATAGTGGGCTCTAATAATCTTTTTCTAATAGCAAGTTTTATATTAGCTTGTTTATCATATATTTAATTAAAATATTTGTGCATATAATTGACCATTGTGGAGGTTAGAATGCCAACTTCAGGAGATAAGTCTTATTTAACTCCCTCACTGTTTGTTCCTGTAACATGACTTTGTTTTTTTTTAATTTAATTAGGCCTATCTAGGTCTCTATAGCCAAATAAATATGATGAAAGCTAGTTTTAGATATAACCTGAATGTTTAACTAATACTTATATACCACATGGAATGACTATGAATAGTAGCTAAGCCAGATTGGATGTACCTCCACCATAGTATGGATCATACATTATTCAGGTATAGTTCCTATATACAAAAATACATCCTACCATCCCACCGCGTAGTTTGTGCCCCAAGGTCTAGAGCGTATCTATAAAGAAATTTCCATATTTAGAATTACTATATCTTATAAGCTACTTGTCCTAGATGAACTACGTTTCACCAGAAACACGTCGAGAATAATAGGCCTTAGTAACATACAATGTTTACATGTCAAATCTTTTAAACCGACAATATATTCATTGAAGCATGTAAGTTCATTTCTAATGTCAGTTGTAGATCCTCCAAATTTCGTGATCTATATCGATAGACATTCCCCTTGAGAAAGCTCAATTCAAATCTCTGCTGGTTAAACGTTCAGCGATATCGTCGGAGGTGGGTGTCCATTTTTAGATTTGGAATTGTCTTTTGTGTAATTTTGTGCCTAAAAACAACCAAAACCAGACCAATGTCATATTGTTGAATGAGAGAGATAAAGAAGGGAAATAACATTAATATGCGAGAAAAGATATTTAGATAATTAGGATAATTTTGAAACATTCTGTCCAAACTCTGCTCATTAAAAATCTCAGGAAATTTTGTGCACCTAGGACAAGTCCCCCTACTTTACCGCCAATTTTAGCTATGTCTTGAGAAATTTACAAGCTCCAATTTTTGAATTTGTATAGACATTATCATACACATTAAATGTGTGCCCTCATAGTGACTTATTTGTTTAATAGTAGAGATGAACGTTTCTTACAAATTTATTTAAGACATTTTCTAACTCAGCTCTAGCCTAAATATCTAAACACATTCTTACATGTTCTTTAGTCAACTAGTCTAAACGACTTTAATAACACTTTGAATATTATTATTCATCTTGTGTGTTGGATGCATGAAGTGTTAATCAAATTTTTAATGCTTATATTCAGCATTTGAACACAATTACGGCCACGTAATATCAAAACGAATAACTCCCATTATAGCAATATTTATGCAAGCAATTTTTAATTGACTTTAATACGTTGAACTATAAGATTATACAAATATCCAAACGTTTTAGATAGAAATTTGTACATGAAAATGTTTTCAAAAGTGTAATTCATTAACTATAGATTTTTACAATTTCTTCTTTCTGTTCTATTATACTTATTGAAAAGCCATAGCTAATTGTTGTAACACATAACACGTGTTTTATTTCAGAGTAAAGTAATTTCATAGAATAATCTACCATAACATTAAAAAAAAAGGTAATTTAAAATTTTAAGTAATCATATTTTCCAAAATAAACTTTACAACACATGTAAGTTATGCAATATCTGGAACACATTAAATGGTCCCGAAGAGGATCAAGTACAAACTAAGTTCATTTCTTCATATATAAATTAATGATGTTAGGAAAGCACGTAGGTTCAATAACATGGATAAAAATACGAAACCCTATTAACCCGATCGCTTTCAAAAGATTATAGGGTTTTGTATTTTTGTCTTTATATATATAACGTGATGTTTTATATGAATATATATATATAACTTTCATTCTCTCACATGCGTTTGTATAGCCATGCAAAATATTGTTTTGAATTATGATCTCTTACTCTAACTATACATGTTCAGATACGTTTATAAGCTATGAATGGCATTCGGCGAATGACTATGAAAATAGTATAATAATACCGCAGGCTTTTTGAAAAATATTGAATTATTTTGGTCTCGTTTAGAGACTTTAATGTTGAAATCAACATTAAGTTCCATCACTGTACGAATAACGAAACTTTAAGTCCAAGGAATAATTTCCGGTCAGTTAAAAGTTCAGCCAGGACGATATATAAGCTGTATACAATGTTTCACTGTTTTGAAAATATGTATTAATCTAAAGAAAATAACATGGATAATTTAAATTAATATGGTAATTAATTTAACAAAGTTATTAATAATAAAGACAGGCGTATTACACCATTCTCTTTTTGTTGTATTGGCCCTACTTCTACAAACCCGGTACCGCTACAAACGAAAATCATTATTTCGTAGGTCGACCCTCAAGAATTACGACTTATCTTTACTGTGCCGATGTCTGCCTACGTTCAGTGACTGTACAAATCTGAGTTAGGCTGAAAAGGGAACATTTTGGAATAGGTCACAGAATAAATCGTTCTCTACTTCCTAACATGTTCAAGCCAATTCAGCTCAAACTAGATCACTGAGGAAAATCTTGACGTCAACGATTGGTTAAATAGAAAACTAATTTGCTTCTTCTTTCGCTATATTTATCATTATAAGACGTAAAAGTGGTGTTACAAACTTTCCAATTAGAGATCCCTGCTAAGACTAATATGTATAGTATATTTATACACATTTCTAAACTATAATACTAGGCTAGAAATTTCTACAAATTGAATTAGAAGCAGGTGAAGAACTGACAACATGCATAACCCTTAAAGTTTTACAAAAGCTATTGAGTGTTATACTTTCTACGGCTTAACGGATATGTAACTTCAGATCTTTGTGTAATAAAAAGTATTCATTGTTGGTACAGTATAAACACCGTATATTTTCAAATGGAAAATCATTCGTTGTATCTTTGAGGATGACTAATATAATTTTTTACGATCTCAAGCTATACAAGAAAAAAAAAAAGACCTTCTTAAAATGCTTTAAATAACAAGAAACGTCTCACCTTTATCTGTATCAATGTGTGTATGTTGACATGCTGTGTTAACTTTTTTTTTCAAAATGCAGTCGTTATTTTCTAAATTCTCCCGTATGCAATCAGTAGGTACACTGTTGAAATGAGTATATCACAACGCAACTTCCACGGGTTTAGTGTATGAAAAAAATCGTATAGTTTTTCAAGTTTCTTTCCCTCGTAGTATTTATATAGTCTTGCCTGACTAGAAGAAATCTTTTAATGTTATTTAACACATTGCTTAACTTATGTATCAGTACAAAACAGCTCATAAACCAAATACAGCCCATAAACAACAGAACAGTAATCACAATTCTGATTATAGAAGAAAAAATAATAAGGAAATAAGTTAATCGCTAATTATTTTATACTTTTTGGATCAGGCTATGGGTAATACCAAAATACCCTTTCTCTTCACTAATCTCTGATATTTCTTTTTTACTCTCTTGATAATCCCATTAGGTTAGAATAATCTTTATAACTGTATTCTGATGAAGTCGTTAAACGGTATTTCTGCTGTATATGCTACTACATATATATATATATATATATATATATCGTGTTGCGTTTATCCTACTTATCACAGCTTCATGTTTTATATGTATTATATACATAAATATTTTAGCACTTTCTGTTCAGATTTAAGGATCTGAAAACAAATAGTGCTCTCTGTACTTTGCTGTGAACAATTTTTATGACTGTATACTACAAGTGATTTAAAGTTGGCGTTTATAAAAAAAATAATCAGGTTATAAGATACAATATCGCAAATTTCTCTTTAAATGTAGGTAGACACCTGGAAATCTGTTCTTCTACCAGCAATCTTTATCAATTTTATCAGACAAAAGGTATGAGAACAGCAGTAAAGTTATTTAAACTCTGAAAATCTAAGCTAAATATTTACATATGTGGTCAATTTAAATTATTTAAAATTTCTTTTATGAGAGCTTCAGTATTATAAAATTCCAATAGCACCATTCATAAAAACTTGTACCCCAGCTATTCATCGTTAATTTTATTTTCCTTTACAAAATTGCGTTTTCATTTACAGAAAAAGCATATGAACATGATGCTGTTATACTCAAGAAAATCCTAACCTGTCTTGTCTTATTGGGCAATTTAATTTTACTTCAAGTAATAATCATTATATATTAAATAGTAGCCGCAGGTTTCCCTCTCTGCCCCCTCACCCAAGTCTTCAGACCAGTGCACAAGTTTCATGTAGTGCTATATATTATGAATCATAGAGTCTTCTTCGAGCGGGTGACTTGCACAGAATAACATTAAACTGCAGCGAACCTGGATTTGTACGTATATGGTCCCGTTGTAGACCCTGTGAACGTTTTTATTACAGGAGCAGGTGAGGGGTGGCAACATGAACAAAGCACACAGGTACCCCCTCCTCCACTTCTTATCCATCACCTCACTAATGACCGACAGAGCACTGCTGGGAGTCATGCCCTGCCAAACCCTCTCTATGGGGTTATCTGTGATTCGCACGCAGTCTGGCATTTATTACTCAATTAGGAAACAGAGGTGAGTTGAACTAATGAGGCTCGGCTCGTCCATGGAATGATGTTGTATATAAGGAGTGTGGTTCCATGACGTATCCTACACACAAGTTATGTTAGGAACGCGAGCAACACTAGGCTGACACAATCACAGACACAAACCAACAATCAGGCTAAGGTGTAGTCTGACGCCGGTAGAGGGAGGATCCGGAGTGAATCAGGAATCTTCCGGCTGAAGGCAACTGTGTGATTGGTCTTCCTGTGTACTTCGTCTGTCCAACTACACATCTGTGGTCTTCATCGTCATAAGAAAGAAAAAAAACGTAGACAGTACAGTCATCATTCCTCGATCTATAAAACTGTCTCTTGGCAAACCGAGCGTCAGACACCAGCATTCTAGCTAACACAAACACACATCAAAACAGAGCTCAAGTCGTGGTCGATTTTCTTCTGGCACATAGCCGGCACAATGGCTTTCTTGAAACTTGTGTGCGTTCTATGTCTTCTAGTGTGGAGTCTAAAACTGGTCACTTGCCGCTCGCTTCAACCTCTGGACGCCAACGAAAAACAAGAAGCCATCAACAGACTTTTACAAATATTCAACATCAACACTCCTGGAAGAAGCGACAGACATTTAAACCCTCCTCAGTATATGTTGGACTTGTATAATGCTCTAGCAGATAGTGGTGGCGCAAGTAAGTCGCCAAACCCTTACAAAGTCAACATTGTCAGAAGCTTTCCTGATAAAGGTAAGAATAGCAATCAATCTCAGATTCCTAGTAATTTAAAATATCCGTGTATTTTTCAATTGGCTAGTAATGCCTTCTATTATTTATTTCAGTGAGTTTGTTTTAGCGCAAAGGTACACAACGAGAAAATAAATTCTGGATTTTAATGTTGCAAGTCTGTAAACTTACCGCTGACCCACTGGGGTATATTTTCTTCAGAAATATATTTTTTATCTGATGAACAATAAATATATCTATCAAAAAAAAATTATCATTAGTATAATCTGAGATTTTATGGCTAAGCACCAATAAAACTAGTTTAATGTTAGAAATCGGAAGCTCTCTAATACACGATGCTTATTAAATTTCTAGAAAACAGATACCAACTGGTGTTTTATTAACAGAATCCTTATTTGATTGTAATCGTCTTTTGTACACTAATAAAGAAAAAGTTATATTGTTCGAAGTGAAGTGTGTTTCTCTTTGGAGTAAATCCCACATTCCATGGAATAGGATTCCGCTCAAAAAAACAAAGTTTAAAGTAGCCAACATACTTCTCTAGTAGGTCAGCGGTAAGTTTAAGTAGTTGTAATGCTAAAATCCGGGGTATGGTTCCACATGTTCATTAGGGCACAGATAGCCTATTGTGTAACTTTGCGCTAAAACAAAAGTAAAAACAAACAGTTAATATATATAAGCCCGTTGTTGACTATGGAAAACAGTTGTTAGCATTCCAGTTTACTGTAAGTTATGTTAACATTCCAGTTTACTGTAAGTAAGGTTAGCATTCCAGTTTACTGTAAGTTAGGTTAGTATTCCAGTTTACTATAAATTAGGTTAGCATTCAAGTTTACTGTAAGTTAGGTTAGCATTCCAGTTTACTGTAAGTTAGGTTAGCATTCAAGTTTACTGTAAGTTAGGTTGGCATTCCAGTTTACTGTAAGTTAGGTTAGCATTCCAGTTTACTCTAAGTTAGGTTAGTATTCCAGTTTACTGTAAGTTAGGTTAGCATTCAAGTTTACTGTAAGTTAGGTTAGCATTCCAGTTTACTGTAAGTTAGGTTAGTATTCCAGTTTACTGTAAGTTAGGTTAGCATTCAAGTTTACTGTAAGTTAGGTTAGCATTCCAGTTTACTGTAAGTTAGGTTAGTATTCCAATTTACTGTAAGTTAGGTTAGTATTCCAGTTTACTGTAAGTTTACTATTTTCAAGAAGATAAATTTACGTGTCAATGAAAATATGCTGAAGATCGGTTGTAAGGTTTGGTGTATTTTTGTATATGGTAAATAAACTATTTGTTTTCGAGAACTTTTACAGTTTAAGAACTAAAGCAAACTAGCTGTGTTGTGGTTTAAAGTAAACACATTTACTACAAAGGTTATCTGTTTTTTTTAACCTATTTTTCGGAATACAGAACTTGAATTAATTCAGATACAATGGTGCAATAACAATGATGAATCAGTTTTGTTCCAAAATTGTAAGAATTTTTACTTAGAATCTTGGAAAGAATACTAACCTTGAGTTGTTTGTAACAGGACTAATATATATAAATATAAAAGGTAATGCAATTGTTTGAAGAAAAACAAGTTTTTTTACTTAATTCATTTTCGCAAATCCCCTCTCTGAATCACAACAAAGAAAACCTTTCTTTTCTTATGTTTTTACTAATCAAAACATTATTGATAGATTCGGTTAATTTCGTATTCTGTAGATAATTACGGTGGGTTTATTGAACTATCATTGCTTTTCAATTTGAAATGTATTAACTATAAAACTGAGATGTTATGCTTTGGCATTAAATTGCTTTTTAAACTACATTTCTGTTTTAACATTAGTGGAATATTTTTGTTTTTATTTCCTATCAATCCAAAGAGTTTTTTTTCTCTAAGTATAAACTCAGAAAGTACCTTCATTTATTATGTCGATTTGTTGGTAGATAAATTAAGCCCAACTGAATCATTGTGGATTTACTGTGTGCAATCTACCCCTGAAAACATTCCTAATAATATATACTCTGTTTGTATATCATTACAAGCACATTAATACTTCAAGTCATGACAAGAAAAACATTTAAAGTTTGGAAGAAATGTTTTGTTTTCCAAGTCGATATGTTGTTTTCAAGATAAATATTATATTTTTCAGACCAAAGGCATAATTTCCATTTTTACTTCAACATCACGGATAGTGTGCCTGCCACAGAGTCAGTGGTAGAGGCAGAGTTTCACCTGTATAGGATGAAACCTAAAGAAATAGTAAGGAGGAAGTCTGAAGACATGAGAGCCCATCTGTTAGAAGTATGTATGAAAGCACTACATTTTATTTTTTTCGTTTAAGTATAAATCTTGTGGAGTAGGATACAGCTGGGTAAGAATACTTATCAGACTCAAAATCCCTGATTTTGTTCATCAGTATCATGAGAAATTATGTGTCTAAAATAAATATGGGATCTACGAGCTGGTTATAATCTGCTAAAAGTCTGTTTACGTGAAATGTTTAAAGGAAACGACCAATCTTTCTAAAATATATGACATTGCTAAACAAATTTTAGAAGCATAAACGAATCTAAAAATATATATAAAATCTAATTCTTATACCTATGGAGAAATTATGGTCTTAAAGCTCAAGTAAAGCTATAGCAGGGAAAATTTAGAATTATCAGATAACTCGGTTTGATGTTAATAAGTACAGAGTTCGATCAAATATAGAGCATTATATTTTCCATTCAGGAGCTCTTTTCTTCGTATGTAGCTGCAATGCTACTTTCCTGTATTTTAATTGAACATTAATCATAGTACTTTAACCATATATATAAATATATTATTTATCTGGCTTGAATGACAAGATGTAAAAGGTTAATAACTGCAAATTCTATGGTATTCATTCTGACAGAAAACTTTTGTATTCCATTCTTCAATGTAACGTTTTAAGCATCAATTTTCGTTGAATAATAGCGTCCTACTCATTATCTTCACTAAATCCTTAACTTTGTGCATCCTACAGGAAACAACTAAAGGATAGCATGTTTATTCTAGGGGTGAGTCAAACGCCTGTATAAATGAATGGGTTCGAAAAAACTTATTTGTAAAAAATTAAACGTTTATAATACCTCTACCCTCTAACCCTTAATAAAGCTTGTTTAGCAACAATAAGGTATTTATTCTATTGTAATAACTGATAGGCGTTACATAATACAATATTCAGATTACGAGCAATGTCTATGTGCTATCATAGTGAAAATTTGTTATTGCTTAACTAGACTATAAAACGTATATCACTGTTATTTTCTCAAGAATATATTTACCTAAGCTTTATTTAAAGTATAAATGATGTATAACTCTTGGAATCCTCTCCCTAAATATCCGCCCCCCAATGACACAGCGGTATGTCTGTGGACTTACAACGCTAGAATCCAAGTTTCGATATCCATGGTGGGCAGAGCACAGATAGCCCATTGTGTAGCTTTGTGCTTTAATATTTATATAGATATTTTCCACGAACTTCATCGGTAATTTTAGGGTTAAACAGCTAAAATATTCTGCAAAAGTTGAGATCGACATGTTATAAACATTTGTGTTTTACTCTATTAACTTATGTACGAACTATTCTTCGCAGCTTCGTGTGTACCAAGTCATGCCAACTTCGATTTCAAATAAAGATGGCGACAGATTACTGGACATTCGACTTATTAGTGCTTACTCCGTGGGCTGGGAAGTATTCTATGTTAAGCCTGCTGTAATTGATTGGATGAATGACCCTCAGACAAACCTTGGTGAGCATTAAGACATAGAACATGTCATTGACATCATTATATAATTTCAATCCTTAAATACACTTAAACATTTCAGTTTTAATATAAATATAAAATTAATTTAGATAAATATCGAAAGTTTAAGACTCGTTAATTCATCTAATTTATGAAATCAAATCATTTTGTAAGGGAAGCTCAAAAAAAATTCCTAACATGGAGTTACTATGAAACTTTATACGTGGTAACATACACCTCTCTTCGTTTTTATGTCTGGTTTTACAGTTGAAATATGACAATTAATAAATAAATAAAATAATTTTACGAATACATTGCTGACACACTGCTACTATATAAATACAGAACGAATCCAAAAGAAAATTGGCATCTCTTATACAATTTTTAATACCTACAGATAACTTTTGTATCCTATATTTTTTATTTTACTTAATATATATATAATAGAATGTATTAATTTCTTTTGTATAGAAAGTTTTAATTATTTCGGCTTTTAGTACTTTACTAACCGAATTAACATAAGACATTATTTATGTTTTCATTTTGTTTAGTATGCATTACCGAAATATTTTCTTTACATTTTATGTTTAATTGTAGAAAATAAATTGTTCGATATTTCAAAAATTACTTATTTGTCAAATTACGTAAGTTATTATAGCGTATAGGAAATAAAAAAAAAACAGTGGCGGAAATTGTAATATTCCATGAGTTTTCTGCGAAAATTGCTGATACATTGTTTTGTTTTGTTTGTCATTTAGATAGCCAGTAACAACTTTTATATCTCAAATCGGTAGACTATTGTTATAAAAAATAATTACATTTTAAGTCTCCAATCTCAGTAATAATTTATGATATTTGATTTTCTTTTGCAAATCATGAAACGTCATAATGCAGTAAGGGGTTATTATATGAAACATTCAACCGTCAAAAATTGGGGTTAGAATTAAAAACTAGGCAATAATTTCTTTGTGGTTTTTTTGGGAGGGGGGCTATTGTTATTTGCTCTTCGCTTGTAATTATTTTCGCTTTTCTGGGGCTTAGTTGCCTTTATTTATTAAGTCTACATTTGTACAGGATTCTGCTTTTGGTATGACTGAACAGTTATGAAGAGTTTGTTTAACTTGCATCATTGTATGTGTCAGCAACCATTGCTTTATTCAATTTCTAGCTTTCAATGGTGATGTTTTTCAAGACTTATCCGACTCTCCATCTAGATCGAAGTTCACAAAATATGCTGAAAGCAGATGACAAGGTACATCTAGCTTAGAACGATAGGCAAGGTCTCGAACTGATAGCTAACAATACTCGCCGGGTTGTCTATCATGTGGAACGCGCCATCGTGAGGTCGTGAAGAGGCTTTTTAAACAAAATGTTATGTTCACAAGAGACAACGAATAACTCTGTCAAGATAAAATAATAAACAAATTTGTTAGAAAGGACGATAGCTTTGTTTTCCTTAAATACATTTTGACGTATGTTGGTTCACGGTAAATAAAATATTTTTAAAAAACTCAGAGGTTATGCAAAATCCCTAAACAAGTTGAAAATATTCACATTTGTTATATTTTTTGAAGAAATAGGCTATCACTTAAATAGTATAGTTTATACCATGGTCCAATCTAAAATTTAGTATATAACAATGACTACTAAATCATAATAATAAAAAGCAGGTTATGAAATTACAGCACTCCCTCAGGGAAAATAATCGTGTGCTATAAACTGGATTACCAGAACCCTCTTTTGTAAACTATGAGCCTGAAGCTACGTGGTTCGCGTGTCCGATTCCGCCAAAAGACAAATCGCGCTCTGCACTTTCAGAGTTATAAGAGTTAATATCAAATCCCACTATCCGACCCAGAGTAGCCAAAAATGGGTGGTGTTGACAAGCTGCCTTCCCTATAGTATAGTATTTCAAACTTGGACGGCTAGCGCAGATAACTCAAGTATAACTTTACGAAAAACTCAACAAACAAAATATCATCTCTGTAGACTTGTCAAATGTAACAGTACTCAACTTGGGATCACAGATGAGCCCTTTTGTTTATTATTAAAAGTAGAATATACTGTAACAATACTTTATCAAATTTTAGATAAAATTGTTGTTGCTTTCCGTTTGATATTTATTGTAAATAAATTTTATAGATATTTTTAGAGTCACTTATTCACGCATATAAGAAATATTTAACAGTAATGATTTATTTTTACGGGATGTAAGTCATTCCTCTGGGAAGTATATTTTTCATCATTCATATAATGCACTGTAGACTGTTATACGTTTAATATTTCACTCACTGTAGACTGTTATACGTTTAATATTTCACTCTCAGGTTAGATCTAACATATATTGAAACATTAGGTGTTTCAATTGTCATTAGTTTAATATGCTTTGGATAAGGTTTAAATATTTCTTTTCTCTTGTTTGTGTTTCAGGGCTTTTAATCACAGTTAAAACAATCTCGGGAAACAGACCAGACGAAGGAATAATGCGCTTCGCTCGACGTCATCATAAGCACGCTAATAAACAGCCAATCCTGGTTCTTTTTAACGAAGAAGATAAAGAAAGGAAGATTTTACTCAACACACTTCCTGGTAAGTATCCTCATCTTACCATTCTTACGATAATAACTAGACAGTGACATCCTGCTCCAGGATTTAATTAGTCATAAATTTCTAATGGCAGAGATACTGATGATCATTACTGACCTATGCAGTAAAAATCTCCCAAGTTATTTAATCTGAATGTATCAGTTTTTTCATTCCCGTGTATTTTTAAACAATGTATAGTAACTAAGAAAGTATACTGTATTGTATGGTGAGTATTGACAAGTGTTTGGCCCCCCAGTGGCCCAGCGGTAAGTCTACGGACTTACAACGCTAGAATTCGGGTTTCGATACCCGTGGTGGGCAGAGCACAGATAGCCCTTTGTGTAGCTTTGTGCTTAACTACAAACAAACAAAAGACAAGTGTTCATAGCTTCGAAGCAGCCAGGCCTGGCATGGTTAGGGCGCTCGACTCGGGTCGCGGGTTCGAATCCCCGTCACACCAGACATGCGTGGGGGCGTTATAATGTGACGTTCAATCCCACTATCCGTTGATAAAAGAGTAGCCAAAGAGTTGGCGGTGGGTGGTGATAACTAGTTGCCTTCCCTCTAGTCTTACACTGCTAAATTAGGGACGGCTAGTGCAGATAGTCCTCGTGTAGCTTTGCGCGAAATTCATAACAAACAAACAAACAAATCGAAGCAACCTGTGCATGTAGAAACTACTTCTCTCAAGCCCCACCTGTTAGAATAAAACCATCCGACTATATAATTTGTTAGTATTTTTTCACTCTAATGTTCTATTGCCGAATCTCATTTATTGAAACTTCACTTTTCGAAAACCTAACCGTTTAGATTAGGAACTCTTAAGATAACTATAATCAAATGGATGCTCTCATAGCAACGGACGGACATTAAGTCAAATGGTTTACCAGTTGAAGACGATATCTAACTTATTAAAATATAGTCAAGTAGAGACTACAGCCGATCGCAACTATATTCAAATAAATAATAGCTTGAAAGCTTAAAATGCTAAAAGTATGGATTCGATCCCCGTGGTGAACATAACACAGATCGTCTGACGTGCAATTTTGTGCTTCACAACAAACAAAGTAATAAAAGTCGGAGCATAACTCACCGATTATAGGAACTAAAACTTTATAAATTATATAAATTTCACATTTGGACTACACAACAATTAGTCCTCTCAGCTCTTCAGATAAGAATATTGTAAACATTTGTCTTTAATAAGCACTCGAATCTTCGAACATTTAGCTGTTCTATTTGGAGAAAGCATATTAAGTGCTATGAACATTTTGTGCATTTAGATTAATTTCACTTTTACATTTCGTCAAAAGTTGCTGCGCTGTTCTGACCAAAAAAAGAAAAGGAAAATATCATGACCCATACAAGAAAAATGCAAATGAATGATATTTTTTTTACAAAACTCAAAACGATAAACTTTAAGATCTACTGCAACTTAAATTATTTTTAGAAGTAGTCATTTTATGGTATTTTATTACACAGAATACTAAGAATTTACTTTATCGCTAATGTTGTTGTTGTGCGTATTTAAGCACAAAGCTACACAATGAGCTATCTGTTCTGTGCCCACCACAGGTATCAAAAACCGGTTTTTAACGTTGTAAGCCCGCAAACATACCGCTGTGCCACTGGGGGGCTTATAACTAATATAAAACAAAGTGTTCATCGCTAAGAATTATTTATCATATCGCTTCGTTCTGTTAATTGTACACGCTAGAACTCCTGTCAACGACTCTTAGCCAGTTATTGAAAAAAATTACATTAAAGCCAGAATATTTTTGTGATATAAAAAAGCAAAGAAAAAAGTAAATGCGGTTTGTAGATATTTAATATTCATATAATTCAACTGTTACAATAAGAAGAATTATTGTTTGTTTGTTTC